CCCTTCTCGTCCCAAGCTGCGTGCACAATTGCACCGTCTGGGAAGCTTCTTTGAGGACTCTCTTTGAAAGCTCCACGTATAGGTTGCATGACGATCGGCAGAAATCTGCCATATTGTAAAAGATTGTCTTTTTCCTGCAGAGTGTTCATAGACATGCTTACGGCCGAGAATTCGATCCACTGCAGTCGGCGGATCTATTTCAAGGTGCTCCTCAATTTTGGTCCAGAGACGTTCCTTCCTGGCGAGGGCCTGACAAAAATCATGTCGTCAACACACAAGGTCATTAAAAGGCGTTCTTTTTTCAATCAATACGAAGACTGAAAGATATTGTCAGGATGTTGACCTCCTAGTGATGCCATCACTTGCTTCAATTTAGCATCCCAGTGGAATCCGGCTTCTGGATGCCCATACAGGCTACGGTGTAACCTGACACAAGGCCGCTTGCTACGTTGGAACTCGTTTGGTGTTAGTTCCATCGTTGCACCCATGTAGGAACTTTGGTGAGCAATTCACTTTGAGTGTAGGACTGCACTACGTCTGACATTTGAGACACATTCCCTTCACAAGCTCCGTAAGACACATTTACATTTATCCCAGTCAAACCTGTGGTGCTTACCTTGAGGTCCTGTAGGACTGCTGAAAGAATGGTCATGAGTCTGCCAATGTTTAGAGGTTCTTTTCTGGCAAGCAAAACATCCCTTGGAACAACTTCATTGTAGGACCAAGTTGGGTTCGCTATTAAACCGTTTGCCTCTTTATCAATGGCTTCCTGATGGCAAACATGCTTGTGCTATCAAGCGATGCACACTTGCAAACACTGCGCTCTCCAGCTTAGGCTCAGGCTGATCACCCGGCGCGCGATCATGCTGCTTGAAAGCACAAGTGGGCATTGCAGAAACGTCCTGGTCAGTCACGGACGGATACAAGCTTGTGGCGATGCACCTGATCATGGCTTCTGGGTAGTATGTCGTTAATGCTGTTTTTTACCGGCAACTTGGCTATGTTTGCGCATTGAGATTCGTGGCAAGCCTCCCAGAAGAAGCCACCACTCTCCACGGTTTGCGATGTGGCTTTCCTTCGGAATCTACCAACCCAAAATCACACCCGGCAAAGGTCGCCTTAAACAAGTTATGTCGTTTGATAAACTTGATGAGCTTGGTCTCGACCAACCGGCACAGTTCTTCGGCCACTCGAAAGCAACATGGCCCCCTTCAGCAAGCACTTTTTCAGCGGGTGCCAAGTAGTTTTCCAACATCCTAAGGCTGTTGCGCTGATTTTTGTGCAATTTCTTTTTGTAGCTTTCACCGCACATGTTCTGCCAATCTGACCACGGGCTGCATGGCAATGAGCCCCATAGGTCAGCGCCAGAAAACTTTTCCAGCAGGTCGTCATCCAAGTCGAGAGGCTTGTCCCTTTCACTGAACCCTACATCCTCACAAAGAGATAGTTCATCCCCTTCCCCAAAATGAGGCAAAACTTCTTTCTTCAATCTCAGCGGTTTTGGCTCTGACCTTTTGACCCGGCATTGGTGGGACCTCCGGCGGTGGCGCTGCTTTCGGCACCCCGACTCTTGGCGGCAATGGCGTTCTATGTCCCACGCAAGCCTTTTGATGAGGAGCTTGGTTCAGCAGCAGGGTTACCTGATATTGGTGGGTACATCACAGCATCGCCACCCGGTAACGCTCCCTCATCCGGATTTGCTCACATTTGATGCACTTGGCTCACACACGTGATTGGCGTCCCTGACATCAGTGGATGGCCTAAAAAGTACACCCTGGGGTTTTGCCATGATTAGCATCCTATCCTTTTCCTGGCCTGCGCATTCTGCACAGCACCTTGGGCGTCAGTCCACAACTGCTGAGCTTGGTCCCGAGTGTAGTCCCTTTCCTTTTGAGCGCTATCAACGGCAGTTTGGGCCTGATGGTAGATCTCGGTGGCTTGGGCCCTCACACGAAGGTTAAGGACATTTGGGTCACATGACATATTTTGCTGTTGTTGAAAGTACACGGCCTTTTGCTGCTGTTGGCTATACACGGAGTTTTGCATGGTCTGATTAGCCTCAATTGTATGGTCTGCCCTTTCCATGGACACATGCAAATTTCTTGGCTCCATTGAGGGATCACTGCTAGATGATTGCAAATTGATTCTGCCGGAGAGATGTGCTGCTGGGCAACTACCCTTGGGATGCACTCACAACAAGCTGATGCCTTCGAACAACGGTTTCATCAGGGCCCCCATCAATGTCCGAATGCGACCTACTACGCGCCTCCCAATTAGCCTGTGCCCAACGACCAACAATGGGCAGAAGCGAGCCAACCGACAATGTGACGCTTGTCGCCCCCTGATGGCTTGCGCTGCAACTTCACGTGCGCACAAGCGATTCCCGCTGCAATTGCCAGCACTCGTGCAAAGGAATCTTCAGGCTTTTGGTGGTCGCTACATTCCCAACACTGCCAGCAGCACGATCAGTTGCAAAGATTCCCTCAAATGCGTAGCAGGTATGACGATTTGATTCGCAGTGAAGTCGTCGACCAGATTCCTGCGAGTTGATTCCGCGCGCAAATATGAAATACAGACGACGGTCACGTCCGGGCAACGATGCCTCAGATCTAGCAGCGCAGTCGTATTCAATGGCAATCCCTTCTGAACGTCGTAGTCGACCAACAGCGCGTCCACTTGCGCCGTTGTAGTAGGCCAGCAGCGCAGCCGCGAGGGCCGCGTCCGCCGCTGCGATGGAGAAGCAGTCGGCCGTGACGCTCAGCGTGTCGTCGCCGTTGGCCAGCGCAGCCCAGAGAGCGCGTCCCTGCGCCTATTCAAGCACTGGTGGTAATCGCAGAACACGATGGGTCCTTTCAGGAACCGACTGGTCCCCTCAATCCAGGTCGTACCAGCCTCCACGTAATATCTGACCTGATCTGGGGCCGCAAAGGCTGTGACTCATCCGCCCTCTTCCTCTTAAGCTGCAGTTGCTGGCGTTCTTGTACTGCTGCTCGGAAAAAGACGTTCAGATCGTCCTCGGCCCTCAAAAACCGATACTTCGCAGGCTTGCAGACGAAGAGTTCTATCGATATGTTCCTGCCTTGCTTCCACAGTCGACTGCGTGGCCACGAACTGAGCAGTCTCATTGATAAGGCCTGCCCACTCCTTCGGCGGCTCTTGCACAGTAGCTGCAGGCGCTGGTTCCGGAAGTCTGAATGATCGCACTTCAATAGTGTTCCTGCTGTCGAAGAAGATGCAGTTGCGGATTGCGAGTCTTCAGAGACAGTTTGTACTGAGTAATTCAACTCCACCGGCAGCTTCAAGCGCTTAACCCGATCAAGTAAAATTACTGTGCGATCCGAGCCCCACCCGTCTGCTGCCAAGACTTGTCTCAGTATATTCGCCTTCTGACTGGTGCCCCTTCTACCTGATCTCTGAGCCAAGTGAGCAGCTCCTACAAATCGTCCGGAATGGGGAGGTTCTTCTGCTCGGCCATGGCTTCGATCAAGTACCAGCTATGAGCCGCTTACGGCTGAGAGCCCGTTGAATCAGGATAGGAACAGCCCGCTGTATTTGATTTCAATCAATCCCAAATCCCGATCCAAGTAATGTTGCCACCAAAAGATAAAGAATACCGCACATCGTCAAGTAAATGGCGGCGGACGCACTCCTTTTAACCCTTGGGCAGCTTGAGCCAAACGCGGATGCGTTTGGAGGATTGGTACCTTTTAAAAAACTCATGACAACTGCAAACTGTCATGATTGCAAAAGGAATGAACCTCATGAATGGAGGCTTTGCTTAGCCATGGCTTCCTGAATGTGCGAAACGGTGGGCAGACAACGTCTACCCGATTCTTCCTAGCAAACCTCACTCAAGGAGTCCCTTCTCAGCAAATCATGCCACATGAAGGCTACAAACCAAACATGTCTTGGAAGTGGTGGTGCATCATTGGCATCTCACCCTGTCAAACATGCATAATGCTCAGCATTCTTCAACTCAAGCACCCTAAACCGCATGCCCCTCCGCACCCTACCGTCAATCTTGAAAAGACGCGCCCGCAATGCAATCAGCACCTCAAACAGCACCAGCACCCCAAACTGCACGCCCCCTAGCACCAGCCCATCAATCTCGCAAATAACTTTCCCCTCTTTATTGAAGTTAGAACCCCTATAGCTTTCAGCTATCTGGGGAATAAATGAGGAGGGGGCGCAAGTTTCCCTGCAAAAAAGCAACACGGGCAGATCGGCGGATGGATCCTCGCGAATAGATGGTGGAAGATGTCAACAAGAAGTGGGAACTAAATACCGATGTTGATAGGGGCAAACAGCTCTTCAAGCACATTGCTTGGTCGAATCTCCGTCTGATTGGGGATGGAGTCATTGGCGAGATTGATGGCTGGGTGCTAGGGGGCGTGCAGTTGGGGTGCTGGTGCAGATGCCGCTGTTTGGGCAGCTATTTGTGGTGCTGGTGGCGGTGCGGGTGCATCTTTGCAAGATTGAGGGCAGGGTGCCAGCGTGCCCTAAAGTTTGGGTGCTGGTGCTGCTTTGGGGTGCTGTTTGGGGCCTCTGTTGTTTGAGGTGCTGGCGAGATTGAAGGGGGGTGCTAGGGGTCATGCAATCTGGGGTGCTGCTGTTTAGATTGACAGCCATGTGCTCTTCGGGGGGTACTGCTTGCTGGTGTGCAATCATCCGCCTATGTTTCGCTATCTGGGATCTATACTGATTTCATATTTAAGAAAAAATGTGATGAAGGGAGAGCCGCTGCACAGAGTCCTGAGTGACCTCAACGCTTGGCCTTCGTGCGCGTGTGCTTTTCCCTGCGAAAGGGGTTTGGAGGCACGCGTTTTCAAGTTCCCTTTCCATCCCGAAAAGTTGGGGCACCCTCAGGAAAAAAAATAAGAAGAACAAAAAAAAAGAGCACGCGCGGATGGCCTTCCTCCTCTGGCCCAGCACAACATTCACAAACCCCAGGGTGGCCAAGAAGAGGGATGCACCGCAGCACCCCTTCCCCGCCGGGTGTCTAGAACGTCCCGGGCCAGGTGCCCGTTCTTCTCCCGGATCAGCTTCTCGTCAAAGCGCTGTGCCACAATGTGCTCCAGCACGGTGATCAGCTGCCGGGTACCCACGTCTCCCTCGCCTGATGGACGGAAGTCGATCAAGTAGACAATGCAATCTTGGTTGTTGGCAGTTGACCCCTCTGAAAAAAGTTTAATCTTTTGTGGGTGTTGTGGAAAACCTCTTGATTTCCCAAAAGTGAAAGTCTAAAGATCCAACCCAATAGCAGTCAAGCAATCGATTCAGTGAGCTCTTGCCGTGCTGCATGCTAGGGAAGCTGTGGACTCTTGGCTTGCAGCCTTCCCACGACTAGGATACCTCTTGTCAAAGCAAGTGTGCAAAAAGGAGCAAGTGAAGCAGGTTCCTCCTGACTTGTGGGGCTTCTGTGGTGCTGCGGTGAAGCGGAACAAGGACCCTTTTGTACAACAGAGCGTAGCCAACGGAGGCACGCCTTGGCCAAGGCAGAATCCACTCGTGGCATCCTTTCAGGGTCCAGCTGGCTCCTCCGACCCCTCCTCAGGTTCTAGACAAGACTTGCCTTCGTGCCATGCGGCTGCCTGATCTTTCATCTCCAATCCGCGCCTAAGGCACGGTGCTTGCTTGCTTGCTTGCTTGCGTGCGTGCGTGCGTGCGTGCTTGCTTGCTTGCGTGCGTGCGTGCGTGCGTGCGTGCTTGCTTGCTTGCTTGCTTGCTTGCTTGCTTGCTTGCTTGCCTGTACGTTACTGTATGTGCTGTTCTGTCTTGTACTGTACTGTGCCGTACCTTACTGTACTGTACTGCCTTTCCAGCCGTCTGTCGCAAGTCCCTCACGCAATTTGGGGGACATAACAAACACATTTCGGACCTTCGGCCACCCGCTCCTGCCCCACGGGCCCTCTTTACCGCAAGGCGCCCACGCCCTCGTAGCCCCGCTTCTCCACCTCCGCAGCGATGAGCCGCGCCACGTCCGTGGGGCACAGGGTGGGCAGCGTCAGCAGGTCCGGCTGCCGGCGCCGGAAGGCCGAGAGCTGCCTCGGCGGCAAGCGCCCGGACGGCCGAACCTGTGAGCGTCCTAGGGGTCGGCTGGGTGAGGCGGAGAAAAGCGTGGTCTCTGCTTTGGGCACCACCTCTTTCATGTTTCAGAAGGGGAGGGCAAAGGGAAACCACGAAAAAGATGCCTTCTATGGCCCGCTTGGGAAGAACCCGACCCATCCCCATTCGCACTCACCTCAGACAAGGAGGAACAGCCGCCAAGGGGCATGTTCGCCTCTACCGTCTCCGGGGGTCCCGCCATGATGACCACGCTGCCCACGTCCAGCACCTATGGGGAAAAAAAACATGGCCCAAGCATCCGAAAATCCAACTAAACCATCTCTGCGACTAGGTCCTCCAGTAGAGAGGTTAGAATAAGGGCACCAGCCTTTCTCCCTGGAGTCTATTTTAGGGGAACCCTCCCCCAAAAAAAAAACGGTAAAAGGGCACCTGCTGGGGTCCCAGCACACACGTCCAAACTCCTTCCGCTGTACTCCAAGAGCTCGGGTGCGAGGCTTTTCCCCCGCGCGCCTGCTCCAGGATCCCGCCGTCCGCCTCCGTCAAACTCCCGGCCAGGCGCAGGTAGAAGCAGCTCCGATCCGCCACCGTCAGCTTCCCCGTCTTCTGGTCCACCCTCGGGGCGGGCTGCCAGGGTCTTGATGGCCACCACTTCCCAGTTGCGGGCTAGGGGGTCAGGGGGATGACCAAAATGGGGGAAGTGCGGGTAAGCTTTAAGTTGCTTTCACCAAGCTGCATCCTATTTAACCCAGTGTGGGAAATTGCTGCAATACCAGCTGGCTTAAGGATTCAGGACCGTGTTTGAAGAACCCGGCACAAGGAACTGTCGCAAACCCAACTGGTGAAGCGGTATGCGCAGGGGTTGAGTGGCATGCTGACAAATGAAAGTTCAACTGTTTAGGTCCCAGCCCTCCAACTAATGGCACCAACATCCGGGTTCAGCAAACGCCGCATCTTGATGACCGGCAACCGTCTTCAATGCCGCCACCATTTCTGACGCTGATGGCCCCTCGTCCGAAAGAGCCCATTTGCGTGTCCGACCAACTGAGGCGGGCAGCAAGTCGCCCAAAGCCCCTATAGGGAGCAGGAGGTCAGGCTCCGCCACCAGTTCATCATGCCGGTAGTTGCCTGTCCACATCAGGGGCCTCTCTGGGGCTCACATCATGCAAGCGCCCAAGGGCAAAGAGCCTATTAAGGCCACCATCCGCGCTTCCCCCACTCTCAATGCCTCTCCTTTCATCACCCCAAACACACCAGTTGATCCAACCCCCCACCCCCCCCAAGCTCCTCTCCCCGACCCCCCGCTGCCGCGGCCTACGCGGCCAGAAGGCCCCTTCACCTTCAAGGGCTTGGGCGATCCCATGGGCAGCTCCTCCGTCACGAGCCCCACGTCGTTCTTGCTCAGCAGCGCGCCTCGAGCGAGTCAAGCTCCTCCCTCCCCACCTTTCTCGCCGTCCGCTAAAAAACCGAAGCGGCGTCCAATCACTACTTCCCCACCTTCCCCTCCCACCAGCGAACATGGAAGTGCACAGACCCCTGTAGAAAGCCTACCTTCCTCTTGGAAAGAGCCTTTTGGCCCTTCCACGTCTCATCAGCCAACTCCCTCGCGCCTCGGTTCTCAGCGTCCTGCCAGGCTGCCAGGCGCACCCGGGAGCCCACCCGCACCATCGCCTGCCCACACTCCTCCCCCCCTCCGCCCCCGGGCGCCGCCACAAGGGTGCGGCGCGTTGGCTTGAAGGGAAAGCCAAAAGGCAAACCACTATGCTTGAAGGTCCCAACAAAATAACGACGTTTAGCCGAACAAGGCCCGCAAGGCACATACATGGTTCGGAAGTCCCGGTGTAGCTCGTGCCAAGTGCCCTGAGAAAATGAATGTTGCTCTTCTTGAATGCGTAGCAAAGAATGTCACAGAAGGCCATCTGGGTGCTTACAGGGCCAAGTGTGTTTTTGATGGTGGTCCCTTCTTCGTCCGCGCCAGCAAGCGTTGTCTTTGACTCATCCAAATGCCTTGGCTTGCTGACTGCCTGGCAAGCCTCGTTGACCAGGGAACCGATGCTGCAGCAGGTAGACGGCGTTTGACCATGTGCCAAAAAATCAGCATGCAGGCAATGGTTATCTCAAGATGACCGACCAAGTCCCTGTTCAAAGGCTTAACCAAGTCATTCCATGACTTTTTACAGCAGCACAGGTGAGCAAACTAACCCTCAGCCCCTCCCTGCCCTGCATCTGCCCAACCTCACCGCCCGTTCTGCCCTCCAACCCCCCGCCACGATCTGGTTGTTCAAAAGCCCGAAGAGGCGGCCGATGAGATCCGCCGCCACGTGCTTGCCCACCCCGAAGGCGCCGCTGATCAGCACGTGCCGCCGCGGCTGCTTCCCTCGAGACAGAAACCGCCAAACGCCAAAGAACACAAGCAAGAGCTGCCAGGCACAGTGCCAACAGGCCATAGACAAAAATCTCGAAACGGCTTCCTTGCAGGAAGCCCGACAAGCAAGTCGCCTTCCTGTTGTGCAGATCGTTGCTTGCGCTTGTGACAAACCAAGCCCAAGAGAGCCCCACGCCCGGGGCCTTCTTTCAGCACATGGCGGCCAGCAGCGTCCCGCAGCCGTTGCACGATGAACTCCTGCCGGGAGTTCAAAGGTCCAAATTCGAGTGGGCTGATTGACGAAGGAGATCATCCACTTTAGGAGGGAACGCCTAAGCATGAATCCGCCAATGTTTGCCTTCAATCCGGAGCCAACATTGCCTTGTGGCCTGTGAGCAAGGAGCACTTCTTCAACAAAAAAAGGCCGCAAATGTGCGAACATGTCCGCATGCCGCTGCTTACTCCCATCCCTCCCTTCCAAACTGCCGAAGGAGAACGCCACAGGGTGGCAATATGTTGGAACCCCCACCCCTAACGAGGCATTCAATGATTTCGGAGGTGGCACGCGATATGGTCTTGACCTGCTTCTGGCACATCCTTCCTGCCAACCAGTACGAAACCCAGACTTGGAACATGTTCTTGACAACCCTCCATTGAGGTGCAGCAACTCCAGCCCCCCCCCCAACCAAAGACTGAATTCGGGCGCCTTCACAGGCTCAAGGCCCACGGCGCGTTCCAGGTCCGCCTTGAGCCTGGCAAATGGATGAGGTGATGAGCTGTGCCCTCTTGAAACTGAAGCCTTCTAGGGGAAATAAATGGCCCTGGTAGATACTTAAACCACCAGGTAAACCAGGGAAACGCCATCGATTTTTCGAGCACAACCAAAAAGGACACCTATGACTCCAAGTGCACAGTGTCTCGAGGCATGCGATGACGGCCAAGCTTGACTTTGGCGCTGGCATGGGAACAAACTAAGGGAGCTCCAAAGAGCTGCACCCCAACATACTGCCTCCTGCAAGTCCAAGACTAGGCGTGCCATCCGCTGATAGCGTGCCGAGCTGCATTTGGTGCCAACCACGGATGCAAACGCCCACGCCTGCAGTAGAACTCTTGCTCCTCCCTGGTCCACAACAGCAGGGCCGCCAAGCGATCCGTCTCTGGGCCTCAAATGTGGCATTTGTCATGTCCGGTTTCCGGTGCAAGGCACGGCATTGCCTCAGGGCCATGAAGGTTCATCCGGACATGACTGGCTGTCCAACACTTGGTGCGCATAGGCCGCGCCATTGGCATGCGCAATTTCGACAACACCCGCACGCCGCACGCACGCACGCACGCACGCACGCACGCACGCACGCTCGCGCACGCACACACACACACACACACACACACCCGTTCACTCAGCCTCACCCTCCTCAGCACATCTCCAAGCACACCAGGGAGAAGAAAAAAAAACGGCTCCTCAAAAGGTAGGACCAACAAGAGGAAAGCCAAACCGCAGTATTTGCAGAGGTCCGTAGTCTTCGTATGCTGTACTGGCCAGCAGCTTGCGCGGGGGGAGTGGCCGGGGAATCGAATCCTTCCTTCTGTCCGAGGCCGCCGCTTTCGCGCACCCGTTGCACCTCGAAAGGCAAAAAATATAGGGGGGACCTCGTCCTGGGCCGGGCGGCCAACCAGCGCCAAGCACACCTCCAAACAGTGGATGGTTTGTTCTCTGCAAATGTGCTGCCAACATTGGCTCGGGCACACAGCAGTCAATGAGCCATGGTGTGCCAACATTTGACACCAAGAGCCTCACAAAGCAGCTGATTAGCCTTCGCCTGGGCGTCCCCGGGCATCCAAAACATCAATTTTACCAAATGGTGTGATGAATTCCCCCGCGCCTCGTTGTACTCGCGGAGTTCCCGTGCTTTGGTCAGCGCCAACTTCTTCCTCAGCACGCCAAATGCTGAAGGCCAAGATGGCTACATTGGACTCGAGCAAACAGAACCTTGTTCATGGACAACTGGGCAAAGAGGAAAGCGGGATACCCAACAACTTGGGAGTCTGCTGACTTGACCCCCACCTAGGGCTTTAATGCCGTGTGGTTCTCGGGTGCCTCGCAAAATTAGATCTTTTTTGGACGGTTTGAAACCAAGGATACGAAACATCCGGAGGAGTCCCTTATTTGAATCCAGCACTGATTGCTCATGCTCTGAATTGCCTTGCCCTGCACCGTCCCAAAGCACAACTATCAAGCCTGAAGACAGCAAAACTAAACTATGTCAAGATTTTCTGGCATCCTGCAGCTGGACCCTCAATGCCAAATGCTTTGGCAAATCCTAGGCCCGAGGTGCTTGGTTGGCTTGCAAACTGTGCCACCTACTCTGCCCTCAAGCGCTCCCAAAAAAACACAACGGACCGTCTGGGCCGCATGGCTCCTCGATGCTGCGCCACAGGAACTTGAGCTTGTGCTCGTCGCTGTATCTCACCGAGCTTCCTGCACGATGTCATCTTGGAGCGGCTGAAGACCACGGTCCAAAAGAATCATGTGCCTTATCGGCAGTTTTGAGATCTGTTCGCACCAGCTTTGCTTCTAGAATCTTAATGTGTTTGGCTGCTGGCCAGGTCGGCGCGAAGAGGCCCCCCCTAGCGCAAACTCAGTCATGGATCATGGGTACATCGCGGAATCCCTCCCCATCGCATCCTATGCAGATTCCTTCCACATTCAAGCCAAGTATTGAAGCACCCGCCGTTCTGCGCACTCAACCAGTCCAACAACGCCACGACCCCCCGCATTCAACAAAACTACATCATTTCGATCCAAACAGGTGATCCAAATCACCGAGGAGATATAGCTTGATCTCCAAATTTTGGGGATCCGCGAAATGGGTCGTGTTCTTTCAATTTGTGAAAGATTCCCTTCACAAAAGTACGGCGTGCAAGCCCCCAGCCCAAGGCCTGCCGGCTTTGAGGAGCTCGGGCCCGGCGCCGGCGCGGGCGCGGGCGCGGGCGCGGGCGCGGGCTTGGGCGCCCACGGCTTGGGCGGCGGGGGGCTGGGCAGCGCCACCGGCGGCGTTGCAGGGCGCCTCGGGCCGTTAGGGAGATGAAGACCCACACCATGAAGGCAAAGGGAGATACCCGCGCAGGTCAAAAGAAATACATGTGCGTGAAGGAGCTGGTTTGCATTTTTGGCACATTTGTGCGAAAGACACGTGCCATGGGTCTGCAAACAGGGGAATCCCCCAAACCAAAGAAGGTGCCTTCAAGCCTTCAAAAAAAACGCTCATGGATCATGGAGGCGCCCCCTTGAGAGGCAAAGGTAAACTCCCTATCAAGTGACCATCCCTGCCACCCAACTGGCAACATCCTTTCTTGCTCTGCAGGACATAGGAAGATCCTCTGGCTTTTGGTTGGAAATTTGGACGGGCCCGCCATGTCCTCTCCAAACAGTAGCTCAAGCAATTTGCCACCATGTCTGGTACACATAGTTGCTAAATAAATCACAAGCAAAACCTTGCACTCAAGGGGTCTACCAACGCACATGTGAAGAATCAGGAAGAAAGCCGCACCGGTGCGGCTCTGCTCAATTGGCAGGCGGGACGACAACATACGCAGGTGTGCAGGCAACACCTTCGGCACCGTGGGGCAGTCACAAGTAGTACTGCAACCGACCTTGATTGTTGCATTGTCAGCTGTGCATCTTGGAGCCTAGATCCACTTCACCCCGAAGAACCACGCGTTACATGTCCTGTATACCCTGACTTCTCCACTTGGTGTAGGAGGGCAACATACATTGTCCTTTTTGTGGAGGGGTGCATTTACTGTGGCTGATTGTTTTGGAAGGCATGCCGATTATGCCAGTCTGTCCTCAGGCATCCGCCAAAGCGCTGGACACGCGACCCGCTCCAGCTCAACACACCCCTCTTTCAACTATACAGTCCTTCACTGTTACTTCACTTCTCTTGCCCCTGCCTTTCCAACAATCTACCCAAGTTCTGTGGCAGACCTGCTGCCCCAAAGCTTCTCCAAATCCTGTTGCCAAGAAATCCAAGAATTCCCCTCACTTCACAGAGCTGGATCTTTGATGTGCAAAGGGCGCAAAGAACAAGCAATTGATCCCCTGGCTCAACCCCCGGCTCAGGTTCCTGAGGCGCCCGGCTCCTCCTCCCCTCAGCTCTCTCTCTCTCTCTCTCTCTCTCTCTCTCTCGCTGGCCCCCCTCACTTCATGCCAGCCCTGTGGCCCTTGCGGCGCATGGGGAGGCAACGCCGATCAGCCCGCGTGCGTTTGTTGCATGAAGGCTCAGCTTGGCGAAACCGTAAACTATGGTGGCCAACGATACATCTGGTCACACGCACAGCTCACTGGAAGATACTGAAAAAAGGCCTCTCAATACAAGCGCCGACCACTCACAAACCTCGGAATGGTACAGGCCCCCTGGCCGGAACCTACCTGAACCACGCCTCTAGCATCCCACCCATTTCCTTGTCTCTCTGGGGCCGCCGCCGGTTTGGGGTGGCTGCGGGGGCTGCGGTTCACCTTGGGCCGCGAAGGGCCGGAATTCCCCACGACCGTGCCCTAAAACACGCCTTGTTGGAGTGTGTGATTGGCGGCGATTGGCGGCGATTGGTTTAGTTCACGGGGAATGTGTTCTTTTGCACCTGGCCGGAGCCGGGCCGGAGCCGGGCCGGAGCCGGGCCGGAGCCGGGCCGGAGCCGGGCCGGCTTTTTTCAGTCACCCCCTCGCATTTGACCATAATTTGCCCGTGTGACCAGTGCTCAACGTTGTGGAAAATGCGTAAAGAGAAACATATGATATGTGTTTTTTCATTCAACGGCCGTATGACCAAAAAATAACGCGGCCATGTGGCGCCCCAGGCATATTATGTATTAAGTTTATAAGATCATAGTAAACTTACAAAACACAGAATTAAAATCAAATGATCGTAGTTTTGTTCAAGAAGTGCACTTCAGTATTTAAAATTGCCAAACAAAATATACAACACAGTGGTCAAACTGAAAGCTTCCCATCTGGAACTCAGAGGCAAAGACAGAAAGGCCTTTCGGCCTTGCGGACACCGCCAAGAGCGCCCGCCACGTCGGGACGGAGGCATGCGGTACAAGGCCCGGGCTGGGAGGTTGGGAGGGCGCGGTCACTTCCTGGCCATGCCAGGCGGCGACGTTGCGACTGCACCCGCTGGTGCTCCTGTTGGAGTGTTCTTGCTGCGTTCTGGTCCTTGTTGTGGATTTTCCTGCTTGCATCTCTAGTTTTGGGGGTTGGTTGGGTGGTTGGTTGGGGTTGGGTCGGGTTGGGTTGGGTTGGGGCTTTTGGGTTGGAGTGGGTTGGAGTGGGTTGGGCTGAGTTGGGCCGGTTGGTTGGCTGTGTTGATTGAATGTAATTATTCGCCAGATGGAATCAAAACCTCCAAAGGCAAGAGCAAGTCAGCTTTGGCAATGACGGAGGAAGAACAAGACACCTCGCCCAAGAGAAACCGCTGGCACACCGCGCCTCGCTTGCCTGGGAGAGAAAGATCTCCTGGCATTTCTCATGGTGCAGGCCGATCCCTCTTTGGCCCTGCGTTGGGCTCGAAATAGCGGGGGGCCAAAGTCAGAAGTAAAGGGAAATATGAGCCATGCTTGTGGTACACACGTTGCGCAGAGCATCTGGTCTGATCTCTGGACACCTTTCAGCTACGCCTGCTGCAAGTGTTGCTTTGAGGCCTTACTTTCTGGGCATCAGGCTTCACAGGCATACTTGCACACCAATGTGGAGAAATGAGCATGACAGCATTCAAACTCCCAAGGGTCGGCGAGAGGATGTGACCTTTCTTCATTCAAGAGCCTCTCGTCCACCAAATCAGCGCATGAAGATCAGGACCTTTCCCCAGCCTCCTATTTGGAAGAGAATTGTGGGAAATGACCACCTCCTTGATACAAAAGCCTCCCAAAGACTCACCATATAAACCGGAGAGTCCCTCACAACTTCGGGAGAAACCTTCTCTCCTTTCTGCACGGCTACCAAACCACATGGCCTGGCCGCTGCGCAGGCCCAGGCTCTCCAGGCTCGGGAAGGCCTGTTTGCCGAACCCCCGCACTTTGGCAGCCCGAGTTCTTTGGGAAACGGACAGAATGGGAAGGTCAGAGCCGGACATGGGAGGCTTTGACGCAAAGCTGGAGACTTGGAGCGCCATTGATGGCGCACTAAACGCAAGAAGAGCCCTCTCGGATTCGGAGAACGCGCCAAGACACAATCGATTGCGAGCACATGGCTCACGCGTGCAAAAACCGCGTGGCACTTGCCACCAACCGAATAGAAGAGATCCCTATAAGACGCCTTCATGGAAAACGTCGCGTGCCTTAAACCCCTGGTTTGGGTGTCGTACTTTGCACATGGCGGAAATCACAGCCTCACCCAGCACGAAATGAGTCGCCATCCACAGGACTTGCCACACCCATTCGTATGGGGGGCCGTCCGGGACTGGTCTCCCATGACCTGCAATTTGCGTGCTCGCCTAAACAGGGCCCTCTCGGAAAAACATGCTCGCCAAACTCGAACCAGCTTTCCAACATCCATCAAAGAGACCATCATCTGAACGAAACCGGACACTGTGATTTCTTGACTTGGGCATCCAGGCCTGCAATTCCACGGTTCCAGAAAAGCAACAAACCATCTTGCCTCGCGCTGACGCTCTCAAGGCTCAAAGCTAGGGGCTCTTTGCTGGGACAGGTCGCAAAAAATGCGCCAAGATGGGTTCCTATGTGTCTTACAAGTATGGACCGGGTTTTCGCGACAGTGTTGGGGGCTGCCCGGTAGGTTTACTGCGTGTGCGTTTGAAACCATCAAAGGGGGTCACTTCTGTTTGGGGTTTATGTATATATATATAGGTATTGGTGCATGTACTTATTTATTGATTGATAAAGCTAATGTTGTGGTTTCGTTCAATCGTGTACTTATTTATTGACCTATGCATTCATTCCATTATTCATTCATTCATTCATTCATTCATTCATTCATTCATTCATTCATTCATTCATTCATTCATTCATTCATTCATTCATTCGTTCATTCGTTCATTGGCTCATTCGTTAATTCGTTTGTTTGTTCATGCATGTCATTTCATTTCATTTCATGTCATGTCATGTCATGTCATTTCTTTTCATTTCATTTCATTTCATTGATTGATTCATTGATTGATTCATTGATTCATTGACTCATTGATTCATTGATTCATTGATTCATTGATTCATTGATTCATTGATTCATTGACTCATTCATTCATTCATTCATTCATTCATTCATTCATTCATTCATTCATTCATTCATTCATTCATTCATTCATTCATTCATTCATTCATTCATTCATTCATTCATTCATTCATTCATTCATTCATTCATTCATTCATTCATTCATTCATTCATTCATTCATTCATTCATTCATTCATTCATTCATTCATTCATTCATTTCATTCATTCATTCATTCATTCATTCATTCATTCATTCATTCATTCATTCATTCATTCATTCATTCATTCATTCATTCATTCATTCATTCATTCATTCATTCATTCATTCATTCATTCATTCATTCATTCATTTGATTCATTGATTCATTGATTCATTGATTCATTGATTCATTGATTCATTGATTCATTGATTCATTGATTCATTGATTCATTGATTCATTGATTCATTGATTCATTGATTCATTGATTCACTCACTCACTCACTCACTCACTCACTCATTCATTCATTAATTCATTCATTTCATTCAGTCAGTCAGTCAGTCATTCATTCATTCATTCATTCATTCATTCATTCATTCATTCATTCATTTCGTTCGTTCGTTCGTTCGTTCGTTCGTTTGTTCATTTGTTTGTGCGCTCATTCGTTCATTTGTTCATTCAACCGATCCATCAATCAATCAATCAATCAATCAATCAATCAATCCAGCCATCCTAGTCCAATCCAATCCAATCCAATCTAATGCAATGCAATCCATCAATCAATCAATCAATCAATCAATCAATCAATCAATCAATCAATCAACCAACCAACCAACCAACCAATCAAATCGATCCATCAACCACCAAATCAGCCAAACCAATCAAATCAGTCAATGTATTTTATACTTGTTTAACTATTTGCTTACTTATTTAGTCAGTGTTGTTCATTGTTGCATCCTATTCTATGTGTATGAACATTTCTATATTTATACATATAGATTCTACACATACATCCCATACGAGTCCCAAACAGAACTACATGCTTCCCATTTTTTGTGCAGAGATGAAGTTGTACCCATATGACCACTCCGAAAAACAAGGTCACGGCGTTGCTAATGACCACGCTGCTTTTGACCATGGCGACCAAGCACGTTTACTAAAATTCCTGCGTTTTATGAACATTTCGTTGCATCGTTGACACGCACCATGTTTACTTTGTTCCATTTTTACCATGGCTTTGACAAGAAAGGGCCAAATCGCCTGAGAATAGCAGCACTTCGCCTTGAGGCTGCCGGCCTCTTTTTTTTCAAGGCAACTTCTCAAAGCTCGCGAGCGAGCCGCCTTCATCTGTTTCCAAGTCATACATAGCCGGACATTGTGGCCTCGCTCAAAACTAGCAGCACTTCGTGCCGCTGGCCAACACACGTGCGTTTCTTGAGGCTGCCGACACCAGGACAAAGGGCTTCGAGCAGATATCGCACCAACAGATGCCGCAAAATGCGCGAAAGGATCAGACGAACCAGCGAAAACTTCAAAGTGAGCGTCCAACAAGAACGGATCACACGTCCAAAATGCCTGGAACCACGAGTCAACAATGGGGCAGGGTGCACACGCGACGCAGCAGCAGAACGTAGGCAACACAAAGAGCGAGAACAAAATGATGACCCATGGTCCTGGAGCCAAAGGTTGGGCCAGTGAATGCCTCAGGGGTGAAAGACGCATCTGCAGCAGTTGAGCGGGTGTGCTTATCATGCCCCCCCTGCAGCAGTTGAGCGCTGAGCGGGTGTGCTTATCATACCCCCCCCCACCCACCCCCCCCTCCCCCCCCGCCCCCGAACCATGATGCATGAACGCAGGGATGAACGTCCAAAAAACAAAGAACTCCACGGGGTCGTGAAGGACGCCGTGAGCAAAAACAAGTACTCAAAAACGATTCTCGAAAGGGATGTCCCCCCCCCAAAAAAAAACCTTCCTTTTGGTTTCCCTTTCAACAAAAAACTAGAAGGGTCCAACAGGCAAGGGCAGGCAGCTCGCGAGCCTCCATGGAGGCGAAAGAATTGTAGGCCGGCAGCGCCTTTGAGGCTTCCGGTTGCCAAGACCAAAGATCCCGATTCCCAAGCAGGCTGGTTGGTTGCCTGGCTGGTTGATTGGTTGGTTGGCTGGCTGCTTGGCTGGCTGGCGGGTTGGTTGGTGGATTGGTGGATTGGTGGATTGGTGGATTGGTGGATTGGTGGGTTGGTGGATTGGGGGATTGGGGGATTGGTGGATTGGGGGATTGGTGGATTGGGGGATTGGTGGATTGGTGGATTGATGGATTGGTGGATTGGTGCATTGGTGAGATGATCTAAAAACAGTTCATCAATGGTCCAATGGTGGCTGGAATGTGCTTCACAAATCTGAGGGAAAAAAACATGGGTTGGGCAGCTCAAAGTGCCTGGGCTCGAGTCTGGGGCAGCACTAGAGTTGCGCGTGCCGCAATGACAAATGTAAGTGCAGGATTTGCTACTGCTCATAGACAGCCCTGGAGGTTTGCCTTCTATACATAACCTGCGTGAGGTGACACGGCCATCGTCGAGGGCGTTCCTTGAGGCCTACATGGACATGCCTTTCTGCAGCCAGAACAGAAATCTAAATGGGAAAGTCACGCGGAAGGTGTCGCACGAGAGCGGCAGTGCCAAAGCGGATTATTATTTCTACCTGGTATGCCAGCTGGCACTGGCGAGCTAGCTGGCACACCGCAGTTGCACCCATAATTACAACAATCACAATCCTAGGCTTCCCCCACGTATGCCAAGATAGGGTTCCCCTTTTGATGGTAGCCATTTCTCCCCCAAGACCCAGATGAGATGGACGGGTAGCAGCAATTCTCAACCAGCTCCACGCCTCCTCTCGCGGCTCGACAGGGAACGTCGACCTGGGTCTTCCAGCTCAATTTAGTGATTGTCAAATGTGGGAGACACATGGGTATGGGTCAAAATCCAAATCGTACCCCCAGTGAACATCCCAATCCAACCACTTAAAAAACAATAGGTTCTAAAATGGGTGGTGCACCGAAAACCCCATAAAATCTTGGTTTTGACACCCACGGCCACATTTGCTTGAGGCAGATTTGCTTTGCCCTCCCTCCCCCAGGTCCCCGGCTCGTCCGCCGGGCGGAGGATCTGCCGGGGCGGCGCTACGTGGAACTGCTCCTCGATCGCCTGCGCGCGGAACGTGGGCAACCCCCCCCTAACTTTCAGTGGGCGTGACTAGCACTGGCGTTTATAGACATACTGTGGATGAACGAAACCCTGCACCACTTGCAATCCATGGAAACCGTTGTTTGTTGGCAGTTACAGGGGAATATCCTTTCAGGATTTGCTAGGTGGTGCAGGCTTTCGTCCATCCACAGTATGCACACATAAGTCCATATAGCAAAGTATGTTCAGACGGGTGCCGGTCGGGTCGGTACCCCGAGCCGACGACGGGTCAGCAACCCCGAGAAGGTCGAAATGAATACCCGCAAGTTTCCGGAAACATGTGTTCAGGAAGCTTAATAGTTGTTTTCCAGAAGCATGCTGGCTTCAGGAAACTAATTTTGCTTCTTAGCTATAAATTTCGTGAAAGGCTACCTCTGAAAGGGTTGTTGCCGAATTCGTGATACCACCCAGTCTTTCCCGCAACCATTTCCTGACACCGCCAAACCTTTCCTGAAACCACCGGCCAGTTTTTAATGAAACACCCCAGCCTTTCCTGATACCACACAACCCTTCCTAAAACCACCCAGCCTTTCCTGAAACCGCCACCCAGCCTGCAACCACACAGCCACACAGCCTTTCCTGAAACCCCGCCTATCCTGAAACCAAACAGCCTCGCCGGAAACGACACAGTCTTCTTGAAACCACCCGGCACCGCCCCAGCCTTTCCTGCAGCCACAGACCTCTAAACCAACCCTAAACCGACCCTAAACCAACCCTAAACCAACCCTAAACCGACCCTAAACCGACCCTAAACCGACCCTAAACCAACCCTAAACCGACCCTAAACCAACCCAAACCAACCCTAAACCAACACTAAACCAACCCTAAACCGACCGTAAACCGACCCTAAACCGACCCTAAACCAATCCGAAACCAACCCAAACCAACCCTAAAACCACCCTAAAAACCACCCTAAACGGACCCTAAACCGACCCTACACCAACCCTAAACCAACCCGAAACCAACCCTAAACCAAACCTAAAACCACACCTAAATCAACCCTAAGGGAGCCTTAAACAAACCCTAAACCTCACCCAAATCAACCCTGAACCATCAGACTTGCAACATCATATGCGACACACACTTTCGTGAAACCCCACAGCCTCGCCGGAAACCACACGACACCTCCTGAAACCACGCAGCCTTTCCTGAAACCACGCAGCCTTTCCTGAAACCACGCAGCTTTTCCTGGAAACACCCCAGACTTTCCTGACACCAACAAACCTCTCCTGAAACCACTTCTTGAAACAACCACCCAGCCACACAGCCTCTCCTGAAACCACCTAGTCTTTCCTGAAACCACCCGGCACCTCCTTTCCTAAAATTCATACACACTTCTGCGAAACCACACAGCCTCACTCAGCCTTTTCTGAAACCACCCAGCACCTCCTGAAACCGTCCAGTCTTTCCTGAAACCACCAATCACTCTTTCATGAACCGCCCCAGCCTTTCCTGCAACCACAGACCTCTAAACCAACCCTAAACCAACCCCAAACAAACCCTAAACCAACCCAAAACCAACCCTAAACCGACCCTAAACCAACCCTAAACCAACCCTAAACCAACCCTAAACCAACCCTAAACCAACCCCAAACCGACCCTCAACCGACCCTAAACCAATCTAAACCAACCCTAAACCAACCCTAAACCAACCCTAAACCGACCCTAAACCGACCCTAAACCGACCCTAAACCGACCCTCAACCGACCCTAAACCAACCCTAAACCAACCCTAAACCAACCCTAAACCGACCCTAAACCGACCCTAAACCGACCCTAAACCAACCCTAAACCAACCCTAAACCAATCCAAAACCAACCCAAACCAACCCTCAAACAACCCTAAAACCACCCTAAACCAACAACCTCTAAAACCACCTAAACCAAACCTAAAACATCCTGAAACCAAACCTAAACCAAACCTAAAACCACACCTAAATCAACCCTTAACCATCAGACTTCCAACATCATATGCGACACACACTTTCGTGAAACCCCACAGCCTCGCCGGAAACCACGCGACACCTCCTGAAACCACGCAGCCTTTCCTGAAACCACGCAGTTTTTCCTGAAACCACGCAGCTTTTCCTGGAACCACCCCAGACTTTCCTGACACCACCAAACCTCTCCTGAAACCACTTCCTGAAACAACCACCCAGCCTGAAGCCACACAGCCTCTCCTGAAACCACCTAGTCTTTCCTGAAGCCACCCGGCACCTCCTTTCCTGAATCCATACACACTTCCGTGAAACCACGCAGCCTCGCTCAGCCTTTCCTAAAACCACCCAGCACCTCCTGAAAACACACAGCCTTTCCTGAAACCGTCCAGTCTTTCCTGAAACCACCAATCACTCTTTCATGAACCGCCCCAGCCTTTTCTGCAACCACAGACCTCTAAACCAACCCTAAACCGACCCTAAACAAACCCTAAACCCACCCTAAACCAAACCTAAACCAAACCTAAAACATCCTAAAACCAAACCTAAACCATACCTAAAACCACACCTAAATCAACCCTAAGGGAGCCTTAAACAAACCCTAAACCTCACCTGAATCAACCCTTAACCATCAGACTTCCAACATCATATGCGAGACACACTTTCGTGAACCCCCACAGCCTCGCCGGAAACCACGCGACACCTCCTGAAACCACGCAGCCTTTCCTGAAACCACGCAGCTTTTCCTGAAACCACGCAGCTTTTCCTGGAACCACCCCAGACTTTCCTGACACCAACAAACCTCTCCTGAAACCACTTCTTGAAACAACCACCCAGCCTGAAGCCACACAGCCTCTCCTGAAACCACCTAGTCTTTCCTGAAACCGCCCGGCACCTCCTTTCCTAAATTCATACACACAGCCTCACTCAGCCTTTTCTGAAACCACCCAGCACCTCCTGAAACCACACAGCCTTTCCTGAAACCGTCCAGTCTTTCCTGAAACCACCAATCACTCTTTCATGAACCGCCCCAGCCTTTCCTGCAGCCACAGACCTCTAAACCGACCCTAAACCAACCCTAAACCGACCCTAAACCAACCCTAAACCGACTTTAAACCAACCCTAAACCAACCCTAAACCGACCTAAATCCAACCCTAAACCAACCCTAAACCAACCCTAAACCATCCCTAAACCAACCCTAAACCGACCCTAAACCGACCCTAAACCAACCCTAAACCAACCCTAAACCAACCCTAAACCAACCCTAAACCGACCCTAAACCGACCCTAAACCGACCCTAAACCAATCCGAAACCAACCCAAACCAACCCTAAAACCACCCGAAAAACCACCCTAAACGGACCCTAAACCGACCCTACACCAACCCTAAACCAACCCGAAACCAACCCTAAACCAACCCTAAAACAACCTCTAAAACCACCTAAACCAAACCTAAAACATCCTAAAACCAAACCTAAACCAAACCTAAAACCACACCTAAATCAACCCTAAGGGAGCCTTAAACAAACCCTAAACCTCACCCAAATCAACCCTGAACCATCAAACTTGCAACATCATATGCGACACACACTTTCGTGAAACCCCACAGCCTCGCCGGAAACCACACGACACCTCCTGAAACCACGCAGCCTTTCCTGAAACCACGCAGCCTTTCCTGAAACCACGCAGCTTTTCCTGGAAACACCCCAGACTTTCCTGACACCAACAAACCTCTCCTGAAACCACTTCTTGAAACAACCACCCAGCCTCAAGCCACACAGCCTCTCCTGAAACCACCTAGTCTTTCCTGAAACCGCCCGGCACCTCCTTTCCTAAATTCATACACACTTCCGTGAAATCACACAGCCTCACTCAGCCTTTTCTGAAACCACCCAGCACCTCCTGAAACCACACAGCCTTTCCTGAAACCGTCCAGTCTTTCCTGAAACCACCAATCACTCTTTCATGAACCGCCCCAGCCTTTCCTGCAGCCACAGACCTCTAAACCAACCCTAAACCGACCCCAAACAAACCCTAAACCAACCCTAAACCAACCCCAAACCAACCCTAAACCAACCCTAAACCAACCCCAAACCAACCCTAAACCAACCCTAAACCGACCCTCAACCGACCCTAAACCAATCTAAACCAACCCTAAACCAACCCTAAACCCCAACCCTAAACCAACCCTAAACCAACCCTAAACCAACCCTAAACCGACCCTAAACCAACCCTAAACCAACCCTACAACAACCTCTAAACCAATCCTAACCAACCCTAAACTGGCCCTAAACCTGATCTAAACCAACCCTAAACCAAACCTAAAACATCCTAAAACCAAACCTAAAACCACACCTAAATCAACCCTGAGGGAGCCCGAAACAAACCCTAAACCCAACCTAAAGCAACCCTAAACCATCCTCTTTCGTGAAACCACACAGCCTCGCCGGAAACCACACGGTCTTTCCTGAAACCACACGGCACCTCCTGAAACCGCCCAGCCTTTCCTTGAAACCACCCAGCCGTTCCTGAAATCGCACAGCCTGCCCTGAAACCAGCACCCAGTCTTTCCTGCAACTACACAGCCTTCCCGGAAACCACGCAGCCTTTCCTGGAGCCACCCCAGACTTTCCTGACACCACCACACCTTTCCTGAAACCACCACCCAGTCTTTCATGAAACACATAGCCTTTCCTGAAACCACCCAGGCTTTCCTGAAACAAGCCGGCACCTCCTGAAACCACCCAGCCTTTCCTGAAACCATACATACTTTCGTGAAACGACTGCCAGCCAGGTCAAGGTGCCACCAACACTAGGTACCTGACCCGTGGTAGCCGACCCAGGTATCTGACTAAACCCTGCCAGGACCTGACCCGACCAACTCCCATGTTCAGACTAGTGCTTGGGGTAGACCGCTAGAAACAGTCAAGATGATCGGGGTCCAGTCTAAGGGGGACAAACTGCCAGTGCGCCCAAGAGTCCACGCGTTGAATGGAATCAGGCGGTCAACTTCAGCACCGAGGGGGGGGGGGCATGTCTCATCATGTCCGCCTAAGCCCTGGCAGGTCAAGGACCTAACTTTGCCCAGCGGCCCCGAGTTTTTTCCCCTTCAGCCCACAACGACCACCTGGACGACTCCCCGGACTCCCGTCTCGCGCGCTCTCGAAGGCGCCTGGTAGAAGTGGAAGAGGCTCACCGAGGCGGTGGTGCCCTCGAGCTCCACGGGCCGCCTGCCTGCGCGCGATGCAAAGATCTTAAGGGATGGCCCTCCCCCTTTAAGGGTTCAAGGGTTCAAGGGATCAAGGGTTTCAGGGTTTACCCCTGGTCTTATTGGGCATTCCTTCTTCTGCCCATTGTCAAGGAAGATTCTCTTTCACATGGATGAGGGCTTCGGTGATGTTGGCCTTGTCCCCCCCACCCACCCACTTGAGCTTCCAGGTCACCACATTGAGAATTTCATGGCTGGAGCTTGCAATTGCAACCACGTTGCATTTGTGAACATGCTGCAAATGTCTTGCTGCCAGCTTGTTTTGGTCATTTTTACCATCCCCCCTTCAGGTTCCAACGCTCGACCCACCTTTCTGCCCATCCACCGTGTAGCGCACTCGGATGGTCAGTCGTGGTGGCGGTGCCGCCGCGTCCTGCGTACAGTAGCTGGTGTGAAGGGGGGAGTTGGGCCTCACCTCACCAGCTGCCCATAGCCTTGGCCTTAGTCCGTCATGGCCTCACGCATTCCATCCCATTTTCGAGGCAATGGGACCTCTCCCCACGCTTCCCCTCCTCTTTTGAGGCAGTCTTCACCGCGTTGAACCGGTCCCTGTCCGCACGGATTTCCTCAGCTCGTTGCTTGGGGCATGCATTGGGGTCCGGTGCGCTGAGGCTCCGATCAGAACGCCCGCTGGATACGGGGAGCATGAAGACTTGCACAAACGTCACAAGGCTGAACCTCTGTAGGGCTTTTAGGAGGGGTCTCATTTCGAATCATAGGTAATTCCTGCACCCAGGATTTCACCAAGAAAAACATGGCGCACACGATCCATCAAATCAGGCGACATGCCTTGACGCCAAAGTGGGGCACATCCTCACAAACCAGCCTTCCTTCCGAGAAACTCTTGAGAAGATCCGTGAACAAATCGGGCGAAGCCACGCTACGAATCTCTTCTGAGAGCCACCAATTCTCACTTACATATGGCCGTGGCCGCGCACCAACCTGGGGCCATCTGGGCATCTGGGCTCGCGGCCGCTTCGATGCGCTCCTTCTCCGCCTTCTTGGCGGCGAGGGCCTGGCGATAGGTCTCCCATCCCGGGATCTGAATGGGCAGGTCAAATTAAACCACCGGGGGACCGCAGGTTTTAGTCCTTTCCATTTACTACATTTACAATTTGGATACCCCATGTTTGACCCACAGCCATCTGGGCTTAGATATTTGACAACCGACAAAGGTTCCGCTTGCGAAGCGGGGCCTTCCCATGCTTTCAGATGATGAATGATTCGCCTTTGAACACTTTGATTTCCAAGCGTAAGGCGTAAGGCATCTGACACGAGGGCCAGTAATCATGGCTCAGCTACGGATGGTCCACCTCGTCAGTTCCATGCTCGCCTTGCCACCCCACTCAGATAGAACCTGACGTCTTTGAAGGGCCGCGCTGACCCATTGCCGGTGCATTTCCTTTTCGCCCTGCCCCCTACAAAATTCCGGGCATTCATAGCGGCTCCAAAGATGGGGTTTGCAGCCTTCAAGATGTCTTTGTGGGAAGCTAAGGGCCAAAGGTCTGGCGCTCCAGTGTGTCCAAGAAACTGTTCATGAACTCCAACTTGGGCCGGGGATTCGGGGACCCGCCTCCCGCTCAGCTTTGGCCCTGGCGGCCTTCTCGGCTTCCGACAGGACCTTCAGCTTCGCTCAAATCTGCAAGGAGACTGCGCCGGGATCTTGTTCTCTCGGTACATCCCCCCCCGGTCAAGCGGGGTCTCGTTTTCTCAGTAATCTCTCACGATGGGAAAGCGGAAGTGTACCCCAGGGCCTGTTGGACCGCCCCATTGAAACTTCTTCAAGCACCCGGCCATTCTGCAGGCCTGCCTGGCCGTGTAGGGCGGGTGGTTGGCTGCGGGCACAACAACACCGAGAATAAATACAACAAGTGCTGAAAGGCAATAGGGACCAGTGGGCATGAGCATATTCTTGTGGACATTGGCAAACGGCTAAACAAGTTGCTTCACAGTTCTCAGGCACAATGATTGCCTAAGACACACCCGAGAGTAGAAGAAGCCAGAGCGCATTACTGTCACGCACCAGGAAAACCCGTGGCCCACGGCGTCCACGACAACCCCGGAGGAAGCATCCCAGTGCTTGTCATACGGCTGCATCATGATCAAGGATCAAGGCGACATTGGAAGAGATTGCCTTCCGTTTCCTGTGTAGCATCTAACGTCGAATGCAACACGCTGGATATTTCATCAAAGTCCCCCAGGAAGTGCCACATGAAATGCTGATGGGAAAGGGTATGTGGAACCTGCACGATGTTGCTCTACCGGCGTTCATATCTTGCACCCGCAAGTTCTACATGTATGTAGTTACGTGCACCTCCACGTGAGTGTGTGTGTGTATATATATGCGTGTGTGTGTGTGTGTGCGCGCGCGTGCGCGTGCGTAGGTCTGCCTGTTTTTGTGAACCGCAAACTGGGGGAAGCACGGGGAAAACGAACCAGAAGACGAAACGCGAAGCGCCGCCTCAGCCCAGGAGCTTGCGAAGTTGGCAGAGAGCTGTGGCACGGTGCCGGTCACTCGGCTCCGAGGCTCAGCTGGAAGCCAGGAAAGACATGTTGAAAGACGTTTGAAGCCCATGGGCTATATATATATATATATGGATTTATGACTATATGGAAGAGAATGAGTCAAAGTGCGTGCGCTTCTACTTTCAGTGAAATCCCAACAGTAATCGTCGCTGGGCGTCAAGCAACCTGCATCCATTCAGCCGTCTGTCCAAATCACGTCCAAACGACTGGTGCCAGAATGGCTCGCGGCCGACACATCTTGCATTGCTTCCATTCCGAGTCAAGCACGCGACGACTTGCCGACCTGACAGAACCACACCGCAGTCCTCTTTTGCTGCCATGTCAAGTCAGGGTGGCAATGTTGCCCCCGTTTCTGCATCAAGGCTTTCGGGTGCGTTTCCTCCACGAAGCGGCGTGCAGCTTGTGCGCACCACCAAAAACAGACAGGCCCCCCTGTTTAGCGCTGGATGTTTTTTTTTGAAAAAGATGGAATTTCAATGCCATGTCAATATCTAGGTGATTCCATCGCACTTCCAGTCCCATTCTAATTTCGCGGGGGGGGGCGCTTCAAACAAGTGGTTCTGGCCAATCCGGCCAAGAGCTTCTATTCGCCCGTTGATCGCAACGGCTCCCGAGTCATGCACGTGCAAAGCCTCGATCTCCGCCCAGGAGCCCCGTTTTTACGTGCTCGAAAACTCCCAGGGAGCGAGATCAGGGACGCTGTAAAGGGAAGGCAAAGCAATAAGCTGGGTTCTTCAAAGGGGGGGCATCCCTAACTCGACCCACAACAAGCGAAACTACCTTACAATATCTGGGACAAGGATCAAGCATTGAGTTGGAAGAACTACGGAAGAACCCACTTATTTGCCTCTGCCAGTCCTAGACACAAAACTTCCCCCATGAGCTTGCCACCAGCTCCTGCGAACAAATCGCGGACTTCGGGAAGGCTGGCAACCCCCTCCACATCTCTTCGAGATGGGGGGGGTGATGGGGGTGATGGGGGGGGTGGGGGGGGGGGGGAATCTGGCAGGTCCTAGGGCAAGAACGTTTCTCGTGCCCGAGGACCGAGCTACGGAGCCGGGGAGCACCAGCGGAGAATGCCCACCAAAATCATAGATGCGACCAACGGGACATGCAGGAAACTCTGGAGCCCTGCGGCTGCGCCATCCCCATTGGCAGCACTTGTCAGGCCAGAAACAAATGGCATGGCAAGTGCTTCAAGGAGCCAAAGCCCAAGATCTGGGCAGGCTCGATGTGGTTTGCTGAGGGGACTTGCCACTGCTTTCGGTGATGGATTCCGTTCTTGGGCACCTCCTACACTCCATGCCAAGCCCCCCTAGCCCGAAACCTCAAAGCTGTGCTCGGTCAAACACTGGAGGAGACACTGCTGGTCACGCTGCTCGTGCTCTTGCCTCCCAAGGCATTGCACCACAGCGGAACTACCTGAGGTATGCCTTCAAGATGAGCTGAGCTTGGAGCAAGCTGGAAAAATATGGGAGACTTACAAAGCACTTTACTCGTCAAAGCTTGATTTTAGTCTCAGCAGCTAAGTGGACTCTGGTGAAGCACCTGCAAATTAGCAGCAAGGCAGCCATTTGCGCCTAGCTCGTGCATGCCGTTCATCTTCCTGGCCCTGTGCTCGCCCATCTTGAAGCCTGGTAGCTTGATCGGTGGCTTCGAGCGGCACATCAGCAAGGATGCAGCCAAGCAAGTGCAACGCTTCACTGTAACGTGCCCCTGCAATTCCCTTGCCTGCTGGCTTCCCTGCCACCTGCTTGCTGGCCACTCCCCTGCAAAGCCCGTGCCGCCTGGCCTACCATGGTGCAGCAGCCCAGGGCACACAGCACCAACAGGCCAGCGAAGCACCACACCACCAACGCCACCTGAGCCAACCGGCGACTAACGCACCCTCTTTCCCGGGCCAGGCTTGGCGCAGCTAATGGTGCTGCCACAAATGGCTCGTGCTCATGTGAAACGTCCCAGCTTGGAAGTGTTCTGCATGAAGTTTGCTTGCTCCGGGAAAAACCTGGCTAAGTTTCCGCGTGCGTGCACACGTGGAAACACACACACACACATGCACTCTTGCAGGCAGAACTTGTAAACATGCATTTCAGTAGGTGTGCGGGTGTGTGCGTGCGCGTGTGTGCGTGCGCGTGTGCGCGTGCGCGTGTGCGCGTGCGCGTGTGCGCGTGCGCGTGTGCGCGTGCGCGTGTGCGCGTGCGCGTGCGCATGCGCGTGCATGTGCGTGTGCGTGTGCGTGTGCGTGTGCGTGTGCGTGTGCGTGTGCGTGCGCGTGCGCGTGCGCGTGCGCGTGCGCGTGCGCGTGCGCGTGCGCGTGCGCGTGCGCGTGCGCGTTCGCGTTCGCGTTCGCGTTCGCGTTCGCGTTCGCGTGCGTGCGTGCGTGCGTGCGTGCTTGCGTGGGTGTGTGTGTGTGTGCCTGTGCGTGTGCGTGTGCGTGCGCGTGTGCGTGTGCGTGTGGGTCTGGGTGTGGGTGTGTGGGTGTGTGTGTGTGCGGGTGTGCGGGTGTGCGTGTGTGCGTGTGTGTGTGTGTGCGTTTGTGCGTACGCTTGCGTGTGCGTGCGCGTGTGCGTGCGCGAGTGCGTGCGTGTGCACGTGCGCGTGCGCATGCGCGTGCGCGTGCGCGTGCGCGTGCACGCACGCACGTTTGTGTGTGTGTGTGTGCGCGCGTGCGTGCGTGCGTGCGTGCGTGCGTGCGTGCGTGCGTGTGTGTGTGTGTGGGTGTGGGTGTGCATGTGTGTGTGCAGGTGGGTGTGCATGTGCGCGTGCGTGTGCGTGCGCGCTGCGCGTGTGCGTGCGCATGTGCGTGTCATTTGTGCGCGTGCGTGCGTGTCTGTCTGGGTGTGTCTGTGTGTGTGTGTGTGTGTCTGTGTGTGTGCGTGCGGGTGTGTGTGTGTGTATGTGCTTGCGTGTGCGCGTGTGTGCTGGCATGCGAAGGTCCATGCATACGTGCATGCATGTGCGTGCTTGCGCCCGCGCGTGCGTGCACACGTAGGTGCGTGTACGCGTAAGTGCGTGTGTCGCGCGCGCGTGCGTCTTTGCGTGCGTCTTTGCGTGCGTCTTTGCGTGCATGCGAGGATGCGTGGTGCGCGCGTGCGTGCATGCGTGGGTGAGCGGGTGTGTGTTTGTGCGTGTCCGCCCCAAAGTGTGCGTGTGCGTGTGCGTCTGTGTGTGCGTGTCTCTGTGCGTGTCTCTGTGCGTGTGCTGTGGGCGCGCGCGTGCGTGCGTGCGTGCGTGCGTGCGTGCGTGCGTGCGTGCGTGCGCGTGCGTGCGTGCGTGCGTGCGTGCGGGCGTGCGTGCGTGCGTGGGTGGGTGGGTGTGTGTGTGTGTGTGTGCGGGTGTGTGTGTGTGTGTGTGCGCCTGTGCGTGTGCCTTTGCGTGTGCGTGCGCGTGTGCGTGCGCGTG